ACGTCTGAGCCGGCATGTCATTTGTTTTATTGTCTTGTCTCTCATCATTGTATGAGGTGGGCATTAGCATGAAGGGTCTTGCCCAAGGACCCACACTGGATGGTGTTTTGTGCTCATTTTTTTGCCCCAAACGGGATTCGAACCCCCGTCTCCCACATACCAAACCTGTGCCTTACCAACTGAGCTATCCAGCTGCCCATATATATATATGTTTATGTTTCGAAAATTATTCACATCATCAAAAATGGCATTTGCATCACGGAAGGTGGAATATAGAATGACAAATTATGATAAAGTGACAAGAAACAACTTATGAACAATAAAACCAAGGAAAGAGTGAATGAGTACTTACAAGCTCCCGATCAATAGCACAATGATCGATTGTATTATCCAAAATGTAATTGTCCTCAATTATGTTTTAAATGAATTAATTAAATTTATTCGCATTCCACTTCCACTGGCAGCTGACATACATAATCAACCTACATAACTGAAGTTTGACAGCACCAGCCAAACCATACAGTCTAAGCAGTGAAGTAGATGGTCTCAGATGTTTCATAAATTACCTTGTCCCCTGATTGAGACAATAATGGTTGAGACAAATAGTTGTGTACGACCATTTTAAGTCTGACTGTGAACTAATTTGCCAGTCGCAAATAAACCTTGACAATACACTCCAGCTTCCAGAGTTGTTCTGGCACTCCCAGGAAGTAATTACCGTATTTTCTGCACCATAAGGCCCTTCCGATTATCAGGTGCACCTTCAATGAATGGCCTATTTTAAAACAGTTTTTATATGTAGGGCGCACTGCATTATGAGGCACATAGAATAGAAGCTACAATGAAGGCTGCGGTTGCGCTATGCATCCCTAGACCAGCGGTGGCCAACCCGCGGCTCGCGAGCCGCATGCGGCTCTTTGGCCGGCTCAATGCGGCTCCCGGGCTTTAAAACGACAAGCGTTGAAAACGCCTTGGCAGTGGCGCTGTCATTCAAACAAAGACGCCAAATACATAGAACTTACTACATCAGCCTATCATCAATCCCGTTACTTGATTGACATACAGGGCAACCAATCAGATGACAACTCAATCACCGCTTGTGCGCAAACAACGGTGCTCAGCGCTAAACGCTAAGCTAGTCAGCGAATTACCTCCGATTTTAAGGCAGTGGTGTCCAATACGTCAATCGCGATCGACCCGGAGCAAGCGGACTGGTCCCAAGTCGAGCGCGAACGTTGGGAGGAGAAAATAGGGGCGAAAAAAAACTGTGTGTCTGTGTGTTTCGATTCCGTTCATGTTCGATGATGTTCCGGCTGTCGCTCATCTTGGCGTGCGTGCGTGCTGCTTGCGTATGCGCCCGTGTACGTGGTTGGGCGCCCGCGTGTGTGTGTGTGTGTGTGTGTGTGTGTGTGTGTGTGTGTGTGTGTGTGTGTATTGTTGGGGGAAGAGCGGCCTCCTCTTTCCCGCGTGTTCGTTGAATTTCGGACGAGGAGAATGTTGGTAATCCAAATAAAGGCTGGAGGCGATGTACAGTTACTTCGTAGGGTT